ATGTGCCAGTTGCGGTACCCCTCTCTCAATCAAACACATCATAACTGAATGCCTTTTATACGAAACGGATAGAGCTCAAACATTCTGTCAGAAGCCCTCCACCCAGACAACATAAGACTCATAATAACCTTTATTACTAAGTCCAACCTTATCAATAATATTTAATATGTAAATTATATAACATGTAAATAATTTAGAGTTAAACTCATTGTTGCCAATGGCCATTGTTGCCGAGGCTTAATTTAAATAAAAAAAAAAAATAAATAAATAAATAAATAAATTCAATAAATTACTATTTAAAATAATAATAGTACAAAAAATGATTAGGAAGTTACCTGAAATATGTATTATAGATTGCCATTTAAAAACATTAATGTTTCCATATTTTTTATGGAAAGTCTATTACGCCTGTCTGTTTGTGTGTATCCGGCTTTAGAAAACGATCGTTCGCATGGAACTGATGTTGATGGCACTCCCAATCTTTGTAACATCAAATGGTATATATTTGGATATATACGTTTCATTTCCTTCCACCATACAAGAGGATCTGATTTCCTTGGGATTAAAGGCTCATTAAGAAATTTATCTAATTCCACAATTGCATCGGAAGTGTCAGTTCTCACTGTTGTAACTTCTTTTACCTAAAAAAATATAATATGTAATAGGCTATTTATTATCATAAATTATCGTTATTTGATAAATTGTTTAAAAATGTAAATTAAAATTCATACCTGTGAATCAAATTCTTTCCATATCTCAAAGGTTTCTTTTTTTTCAGTTGACATAGTGATTTGTTCGTTATCTGTAACTATATTTTCTTCTTGATTAATAGATTGTCTTTTGCGTTTAAGTATACTTGAAATCTTGCGCACGACGTTTTGATAAGTACGGATATAATATGTCTCGCTACTAAATCCTTTTTTTTTAAAACGTGGATCAATTAAAGTTGCTTCAGCAAAAGTAGAATTGTCTTCCATACCGGCAAATTTGTTTTCGGCTTTATTTTCCATCTTTAAAATCATAGAATAAATATCAAGTGGTAAGTTTTTCTCAGTTCTCATTGTTTTTATGTGAAATAACAATGCATTTGTGAGAACTTTAACTTTGGAAATTGATACCCCTTTTTCCGAACTTAACTCAATTGTAACTTCTTTAAAAGGCTTAAAAAGTTTGCAATAATAATCCATTAAATTAAAATCTGACGCCGTCAACATTTCAGTATTACCAATCATAGCCAAAGTGGATACTAATGGATCTTTTGTCTCTAAACACCTATTAAACATATCATAAGTCGAGTTCCATCTCGTTATCACATCTTGTTTCAGTTTTAGTACTGGATAATTCATCTGAATTTGTGTGTTTTTTAATTTTGCTGCTGCTTGAGAACTACGCTTAAAATGCTCTACTATTTTTTTTAACTTTTTTATGTATTTCTTTAATTTCTTCTAACCCACATTGGGCTATCAAATTAATGCTATGCACTAAACAAGGAATGTGTTTCCAATTTTTATTTGAACTTATTGCAGCTATAATATTACTAGCGTTATCGCTAATAGCTATTTTAACTTTATTTACAATACTCCACTCTTCAAAACAATTGTTTAAAAATGTCGATAAATTGCTGTATGTGATAATTCAAAATAATAGCATCCTAGTAAATGAGATTTTAAAACGCATAGTTCAGTATCAATAAAATGTACTGTAACAGCGACGTAACTTTCATTATTAACAGATGTCCAACCGTCCGTACTCATTGCTATATATGATGCATTATCTAAACTCCTTTTAACCTTTTCCCTGATGTTTTCTAATAATTGAGGTAAAATATTATAAGTAATTGTTTTTCTACTTGGCAAAGAATAGCTTGGATTTAATAATGATACAAATTTTTTTAAACTCTTTATTTTCAACCAAACTAAACGGTTGGTATTCTTTAGCCATCATTATACCTAACTGCTCATAAATTTTTTAGATTTCGAAATAGGCATCGGCCTTGATGTATACGCATCTATGGATACTTGTGTTTTTTGTAACGCTAGCTGTTTTATTTTTAATTATAGGTGTAATAGTAGTTAAATTAGAATGGGAAGGTTCGGATACGGAAACATTATCAGGTTCATCGATGTTTTTTTTCGAGAATTTCAATAGATCTTTTTTTCCTGGCATCGTATTGAACTATGTGTTTTCGTTTTAAATGTCTCGTTAAATTAGCCGTAGAACCCCCTTTATAAGAAATAGTATTAGAACAAAAATTGCATTTTGCTTTTTCACCATCAACCACTTCAAAATTATTCCACGTTTCACACTTTTTTTTATCCATTATACCAAGAATAATATTACTAAATTACTTATTAATTTAATTTATAGAAAATATAAATGAAATGTAACTTACTATTTTGTCGTTTAATCAACTAACATTGACAAAATGTCTTATAAATGTAATATTAATAATTTTATGCACATAGACACCGCGATTGAAAAATAAACTGTACAACTGTAGAAGTGTAGAGTGTAGGCTCAACTAATTTAAGAACATAACAATATAATAAAAGACAAAGTAATAGATATTTTATTAATACATTCTAATATTATTAATGTTTATTAGTTTTCATTTGTTATGCCTTAAGCACAATATTATAACGTTTCTATAAATATAAAATATGTGTATTGTAATTAAATGAACTTCTTTAGATAGCCAACTCGGTATAAATAGGTCATAGAATAAAACGTAATTAAATATCTATATTATTATTATTAATTTTTAATTATGATTTATTTTATGCTAGTTTAGGTAAACGATAGTGAAATGAATGATCGATGGTATAATATCGATATTTTTTTGATGCACCTATCCATATATTTTACTTATTTACTCTCGTTCTTGTTCAACTAGTCAATTGTGAATAACTATTAACTATCGATTTCAATTTTGATTTTCAATAAATTATAAGAATCACGGCTAAAAATAATCTATAGCCATGATAAGAATATAAAATACACGGAGTAAGAATATGAATCATTATCTTGGTCCGTGATAAAATGTTATCTACAATCTAATTTTCGAATATTCCTAATTATAATGGACAACTTACTAGTACAACAATTATACTATGCACTTTTGGTACATTTTACCATTGGAAAATAGGAACGAATAGGAACGTTCGGGTGGAATCGTTCCTCTACTGGACTCGTTCATTTGGAACGATTCGTTCAGGAACGACCCATCACTAGTCGCCATCGTTGTTTGTGTCATTCGTGCGTCGTTCATCGATTGACACGGGAGAGGTCGTCTCCGTGACTTCTCTTTGGACACAATATCCACGTGGCTTGTTGTGCAGTTTTTTGGATTTTTTTTTATAACATTCGCGTGCCTTGCTGAGCAACTTATATTTTTATTATACGTGTGACGTGTTGTGCCGCCGTTATCACGTTCCCGTTGAAAGTGCGTTTTGGGATAGACACTTACCTTGTTAGGCCACTGTGGTCAATATCGCCGACGGTCCGATCTACGGATAACTTGACAACCGAAGATTTCGGCTATTTTTAATCCGTCTCACGTGTAATATCAAGATCGCGTGGGCACAACCGAGCAGACGAAGGTAGCACCAGGTATTGACTGGGCTTTTTTTTTGTATTTACGCGAGATATTTTTTTTGCTACAATTACTATTGTCATTATTATTATTATTTATTGTATTATTTATATACATGTGTTAGAATATTAGTTTAATCATTAGTATTAGTTTTGTGTGTGTGAGCGCTCCACCGTTTTAATGTTAAAATACACGTTGATTATTATTATTACGATTCCTTGATTTTTTTTTCATTTCGTATTTTATTAGTGTTGCACACACCTCGCGAATCGGCGCAGGTAACCGCTCATGTTTGAGATTCACGGCCCCCCTGTCCGGCGAACAACCATAGTTTTAAATTGATTTGAAAAATTCGTATTGATTTTCCATTTGTATTTTACATTTAATTATTAACTCAATTCTACTAAAATAATTCTGATGATGAGGAGTTCAAATAAGACGTTCAGCACAAACTAATCAAATTTAACCAAATAAAAATTATTATTTATACATTATTGCATTCTAATAATCGTATTTCATTAACATACCCAATTTTATTTTTATAACTTACATGTCAAGTACTATCAAGGCCGGATAAGGGGAGGTTTAGCCGGGGCGGTAGCCCCGGGGCCCTCTAGAGTACCCAAGTAAAAGGAGCCCAAACAATTTTAAGCCGATACACATTTTTTATCATACTAAAATTAGTAGTTTTTTACACATAAATTGTATATACTTATTAATTTTATAATTTTACAATGCAATTGACAATTTATGAAATAGTTAAAAAAAAAATGTATCGGTCTGCGAGCGTAGCGATCAGCTTTGTAAAGCATGTTTTGTCAAAAAGGCTCATATAAAATTTCAGCCCCGGGGCCCAATAGGTGCTTAATCCGGCCGTGAGTACTATACTAGGTTTTAATCACGATTCACTGAAAGTACTATTTCTATGCATTATTCCATATTTTTCATTTTTAAAAATATCAACAAGATTTTCAATGATACCCGACAGCATTATAATTATAACATACGTTTTCCTTAAGATGGGATTAATATTTATTTATGATTAGCAGACGAACATAAAAAACCAGAATTTGCTTCAGACAAAAAGTACCGAAACGTGAAACTAATCTAAGCGACAAGAGAAAAATCATTAAAAACCCTATTAAACGGTGGCTATATGCCAATACCTATGTAAAAATTGAAAATTTGTTCAAACTACCGTGAAATTTTCAGTTAAATATGATATTTAATTATAATCTTACCTTAAGTGTACGTAAATTTAATATAAAAAGACTGGAAAAATTGTTGACGTTTATATTTAAGGTTTTGTTTTTATCAATTTAAATTATTCATATGTAACTATTTTAGATTGAAAAAAAAAAATTATTGAAAAAAAATGCTACTTAAGTATTATTTTATATCTCTATAGATACACGTGTCAAATTGGATAAGCAATTTAGGCATATCATTTAACCGTTCAGTTTGGAATGAACTCATTCAATGTACTAACCAATTTTGCTACTACGATGACTACAATTGGGACTGGAGTTTACAGAAAATGACGAAAACATGTCCGGGTCATACTTTTTGGACGTCTACGTTACAAAATTCTCGAGTTTACCACTTAGGAAAATGGTAAGCACTCGATTTAATTAAAGTTAATACCCCATTTCTAAATACTTATCAGTAGAATGTACAATTATCTCACTCAGTGCATTTTTTAACTAGTTTACTAGGCGACACAAATGTCGCCCAGTGATTATACTCTGTTGACAATATTTTGAAAGATTGGGCGAAATAATGCAAAACAAACGTGTAATACTATAATCGTACTAAGGTATTACATTGACTATTTTGAGAAAAACATTTTTTTCGCTCAGTGAAAATTCCTTATAAAATGCACTGATCTCACTGATAACACTCGGATTTTAGAAAATAAATTAACTCTACACTCTCATGAATATAACATTTTATAAATGTAATTTAAATCCAAGTTCAGTGAAAAGCCATAGAAATACAATCAAATTTATTGAAACAAAACGCAATAATTGCAATAAAATATCTCGGTTTTTATTCAGTAGAATTATGATTAATATATTATATATTATTTAAATATATAACATAATTTGTTTTGAACTAATAAAGAAAATTAACGAATTCTTCTGTTTTGTTAACGTTTCCAAATTTCAATCATCGAATCTATTACTTACCAAGACTATGTTTCTCGATGAATTCGGTTGTACACAATCTGTGGTGTTGAACTGAAATTTTCTTTGAAGTAATTATTATTTCATGATCTAAATCAGTGAGTGGTGAAAAAATTGTATAAAATTAGTTAAAATATTTTATCTACTCATAAAAAATTAATAAATACTAACTATATTTTAATAAACTAGCTTTAGAAATTAACCTAACCTAATCTGTTCGTGAAAATATTATATTTTTAGTTTAGTTAAAATATGATTTTTTTCCGCTACGTCTTCGAAAAAAAAAACTTAACGTCGTACAAAATACTGGTTAACTAATTGTAAAGTCTATTTGACGTTAGTTTTTTTTTGTTTTGAAGTATAGAAAGTTAGGTACTAAGGTGATGATCGTAAGAGTTTTCAATGAATCACGATTAAATTTGCGTTTTTATTAGATTTCTCGGTGTGAGACGACTGGGTTTGAATCAGTATTTTTATAAAATACTATGTCATTCACTTAACTGCCAACTTATATACTGTTATTGGAATTGATTTTATATTATGCAATCAGGGCGATATTGCTTTTATAATATAACATAATCGATGAACTACCAACATATGTATAACAATAACAAAATGAAACAACTTCTTTGATGAATAATGGGTATAATGTAATTAAATAAATATATGTACATTTATGTATATGTATATGTATAAGTAAGGCATGTGAGGCATACATTATGATTTCAGATTTATTTTTTAAATGTGGAATATTATAAATCATAAATATATTTATTATATTTTTAATAAGTCTAGAAATAATAAAGGACACCGCTAATATAATGTATAGGCACCTGTACTCTATGGATCCCACAAGTTATGATTAATATTAACCATTATTTATCATTCTACTTTTTTATTTTATAATTTATTATAAAAAAAATTCAATTATTAAATTTAAATTTAAAGAATAAAATACATGATATATGAAATTTCTAGAATACATTCTACATTCTATATTCACTAAATGATAATACTATATAGTTTTGATAAAAGAACTCACATCATTGTAAAACCAAGGCTGGGCATTAACGAGTTAAAAGTTAAAATTAAGTTAAAACATTAAGTTAATTAACTCGTTACTTTTTTTACAAATAAACTTTATTTATAGTAACCCATTACTTTTTTTTAAGATTAACGTGTTAACTTTAAGTTAATTTTATTTAAAAGTATCTCAATTAAGTTAATTTTAATGCAAAGAATAATGCAAATTATTGACCCGTTGATTTTTTTCTACATTTGGTCATTTGAAGTAAACGTTCAATCGCGTGGGGTAAATATTCTACAAAGAGATACATTTTTCTTTACACGGGTGTGTACAACGAACTAAACTAGTTTTCAATGAAATAAATGTCATTATCGAATAATGGTGTGATTTTGATGAGCTACTCAGAATTACAAATCCGTTTTGCAGATAATGAAGTGGATACACATATTTATTAATAGACTGGGAGATTATTTACCCCGCGCAACCAATGACGGGTTAAATGAGGTTTTTAGTATATTTATAATTTACTATTTTTTATATGAATTTCCTTTAGACTAAAATAATATGAAAAATAACTTTAATAGTCATTATATGGGCTATATTTTATCATTGTATTTTTATAACATTGTTATTGTACACTATAAACCCATGGAAATCCTAAGAATATTCTGTGAAAAAAGTAAATACCATGTGAGCAATTGTCGATGGGGGATTAATCACAAAACAACTATGGTATAATTAATTTTATATTTTTTCTTCGGTTACATTTTATTAAAATTATAATTAATGAACATACCTTGCGACGAAAATAGGTAGATTGCAATGGACACGTCAATAAGTGGTGAGTGGTAGTGGTGCGCAGTAACATTGTTTTCGTGATACCGCTTTTAACTTATAAAATTTAATGTCATTAAAAAATATAAATATTGATAAATTATTAAGATTTTATAAACAAGTACGGAAAAGTAAATAAGAATGAATTCAAACACTTATTGATTTCATTTTTTTTTTGACTTCCACAAAAAAATTATTTCGCTGAATTTACATAAAATAATATGCGCTAATAACTCAAAAAAAAAAAATTAACTTTATGTCAAATATGTCAATACACACAAAACATGCAAAAACATGCTATATTAAACTTTAGATTTTTATTATCGTTGTTATGAGGGAGCTTATCGATTCCACCGAATATTTGTATATATTGATTGCGCCGAATATTTTTATATATCGATTCCGCCAAAGGTTTATATCTTATACATAAAAATCTCGTGTCGCAGTGTTTGTCCGGTAAACTCCGAAACTAATGGACCGATCATGATGAAATTTTTTACACCGTGTGTAATTTGATCCAACTCAAAAGATAGGATAGTTTTCATCTCAATTTTTTTAATACATTATTATTAACTTTTTTATAAATTTACATACTTATGTATAATTGCATGGTGTATTTCGGGTATTCCTGCGACCGACCGCGATAGTATCTATATAGCTACCTGTAACCTGACATTTTCTATTGTGTGTGTTTTATCGCCGGCGGCATGTAGATATGAATAAAAGATAAGATAGTTTTTATCTCGATTGAGGCCCTCAATATTTTTGCATTGCAATAATTGTGAAAAAGAAAGTTATAGAATTTTCTAGAAAGATCCACAATGTTTGAGAATAGGGAATGATGTCATATAAATGTTCCCTAAATTTTCGTTCTAGAAATTTCAATCTTTTTTTTTTTTTTTTATTAAAATATATAAAATTTACAATCTGTATAAAAAATAAAATACAATAAGCAAATATGTTAACAATATATGACGGACAAGAAACAGCGATTTGGGAACCTATCCAGTGATAGGACCCATGACGTGACTGCTAAACTAGCACATTTTCAGTCTAAAAGATCACGACACCAACGACGTTTGAGCCGACGGGGGGGGGTTGTCCGGGATTGATACCGTGTGTTGATTTGCGATAAGTGGGTTGGGATGGAGAAATAATTTTGAGTGGAACTTTTTGTAGTAAGTTTTAACTAAATTATCAACTGCTTCTATGTTTAAATCTTTGTGGAGGGTATGATTGGAAATATACCAAGGAGCGGACGTGATTGTACGGAGAGAGATCGATTGGAAGGCTTCGATAGTTTTTAATTGTGATGGTTTGGCACAACCCCATATTTGTGCACCATATGACCAGATTGGACGTAGCATTGCTTTATATAAAATTAATTTATTATGAAGTGGAAGTTTAGATTTTAGTATGGGACGTAATAGGTGTAGTCTAGAATTGAGTGACTTTCTTTTGTTTTTAAGGTGAGGGCCCCAGGTTAAACGTTTATCTAAAATAATACCAAGGTATTTTACTTGAGATGAGGAGGGAATAGGAATTTCATGGAGGGTGGGAGTAGGCAGATTTTTTTTATTTAGAGTGAAAGGAACATGAACAGATTTGGCGGCATTAATTTTAATTTTCCAATTAGAGGACCATTTATCTATAAGATCTAGGTGGTTTTGAAGGGTGTTGAATGCTACGGTTGGATTCTTATTGGATAATAGGATCGCTGTGTCGTCAGCGTAGGTAGCTATGATGGTGTCATTGGTTTGAGGGATGTCAGAAGAGAAAATATTGTAGAGATCAGGAGAGAGATCGCTTCCTTGAGGAACACCTGCTAGGATTGGAAAGACAGAAGAAAAAGAATTGCCTTGACGAACTTTAAAGGTTCTATTTTCAAGGTAAGAGCGAATTAGTAAGTAAAGTGGAGCAGGGAGGAATAGTTTCAGTTTATATAGTAAGCCATTGTGCCAAACCCTGTCAAAGGCTTGAGCCACATCTAGGAAGACTGCCGGGCAATAGTTTTTATTTTCGAAGGAGGAAGAAATTTTGTCGACTAGTCTGTGAACCTGTTGTATAGTGGAGTGGTGTGCTCGAAAACCAAACTGAGCGTCGGGAATAATTTTATGTGATTCAATTATTGGTCTAAGTCTTTTTAAAATAATCTTCTCGAATAGCTTTTACCAATCACTGGGAGTAGACTAATGGGTCTATATGAGGTTGCAATATTGGTTGGTTTTCCTGGTTTAAGTATGAGGATAACAATTGATAATTTCCAGATGGTAGGGAAATAAGACAATCTTAACATGGAATTAAATAAGAAAGTTAGCAAAAGGATTGTTTTTTTTGGGGAGATATTTTAAAATCTTATTTGTTATTAAGTCATGACCTGGGGATTTGTTGGGCTTCAATCTTTGGATCAAGTTAGCAACTTCATATGGGGAGACATGTTTAATAGGGAGAGACATTGGTAGTGGAGCATCAAGAAAATCATTTATTTTGGCTAGTTGTGTGGTACTTGGAGTAATATCAAGGTGAGGTTTGAAAATATTCGAGAGGTGTCCCCCTAAAAGTTTGGC